TATTTTAATAATTTTCAACCAAAGACAACCCATTTTTTATACAATTTGAACAATATTCCAATCATATATAGACATATGATATATATTAAACATTATATGTATATAATGGATTACATAATGAAACATCAGTTTGGAATAGAAAAAGGAAAGACCAAGACTAGTGCTGTAAACAGAACCGAACCGAGCTTGGGCTGTTCGAGCTTGTGTTCGTTCGTTTATTTTTCGAGCAAAAAATCGTGTTCGAGTTCGTCCGTTTAATTGTTCGTAAAAGTTCGAGTTCGTTCGTGTTCGAATAATTTAATACATAAACTTTTTAGATATGTTTGATTAACTCGAAATTTGTTCGTTCGAACTCGAAAATAAAAGAATAAATTAAAAATATTTATATATTATATATTTTTTATTAAAAGTATTATGTAAATATATAAAAAAATAAATAAATTTATATTAAATTTTAGATTTTATATTAAATTAAATAAATATATATATAATAACATAAAATTATATTAAATTAATGTTCGCGAACATAGTCGAACGTTCACGAACGAGCTCGTGTTCGTTCACATTATTAAACGAGCCTAATTTTCTGTTCAAACTCGACTCGATTAATAAACGAACGAGCTTTTGTTCGCGAACGTTCAGTTCGTTTACAGCTCTGACCAAAGCAATACAAAAAGCAAAACATAAATAAAAAGACCAACATGAAATTAAAATAAAAGAGCAAAGGGTCATGAAAGACCAAAACAAAAGACATAAATAATAATTAAAAAAATAGGAAAAAGGAAAGGAAGAAATTAAAATATAATACGCTAAATTACAATTTTGATCATATTAGATTATGAAAGTAGCAATTTAGATCTCATATATCGCACATTAAATCTTATGAATTTAGAATTTTGTGCAATACGGTCTTTTGACAATTAAAATTGGACAGTCATAAAGATTAAAATTGCAACAAAATTTTAGAATTACAAAAGTGATAATGATGTGTCACTAACTTAAATTGCTAGTTTCACAAGTTAATTTACAATTTAGCCAATCTAATACATAAATTACGTGCTAGCTATGAAGTATGGTCGTTAGGTAAATCTAACAGTTCGACAATCATATTTTTTTCAAAACGAATATTATAACATTGAATATATAATATTTTATTATATAAAGAAGCATATTTTTTTTTGTTTTTTGGGTACAAAGACTTTTCGGTTTACGGATCCTCGAACTCCCTTACTAACAATTATTATCGTGGGTTTGTTACTTTGTTTTACGCTCCCGAAGTAGAGAAAAAGTCCACTTTTTACTGTGTTAATTAATTTAATGAGAAAAGAAGAAGAAGAAAAAGGAGCCTAGAAGGCCTTAGAAACATTCTTTGATATTATTATTATTATACTGGGAAAATCCAGCTGGAATTGCCTGCAGATATATGCAATGAAAGGGAGGACGATTATTGAATTTTTTTTTTTGGTACAAGGACCTTTCGATTTCTGGATTCACATGGGAATCGACTAATCCGAAATTGAGCCGGGTAGGACCACAAGGGCGGCAAAGCTCTCCCTCAAGAGTTTTAAGACTGCTGCATTCTCAGGGCTCGAACACGAGACCACTTATTAAATTAGAAGAGGCCAAAATCATCTCATTCAAGCGCTCTTGGTGACGTTGCTATGCAATAAAATAGTTTAACTATTTTTTTTTATTAATTTTCTAAGATTGCAATCAGTGGAGTACAATTATTGAATTTTGTATTTGACTTGAATAGTGACAACACTACAATTAATTGATTTTTTTTATTGTTGGACACTAGGCTTGTAAGCAAAATGAATTTTTTTTTATTCGGTTGGATACTTGAAGTCGATATTTGTGATTCATGAAATTTAAATACGAATAATATTTTATATTCAAAAGTTAAATGAATTTGAATTTATAGATATTCGGTTCGAAATTATCAATTATTCAATTAGTTAACGATAATTATACAAATTTTATAAATTATATGTAATATAAATTTGTTTCTAATATATATATTGTTATATTCTTAACATTTTTATAACATAAAAAGAAAAAAGCATCCGAAATTAATAATTTTCCCTAAAAATATCTCAAATTAAACATCTCAAATTGGATCAGAAAAACGTACACAATATTTTTTTTTGTAATTATAACCTTTTTCTTTTTAATTATAATGTTTTTATGAAAACAAATTTTTAATAGAATTGGATATATTCGAATATTGTAAACATACGAATCAATAAATTGACTTTATTTACAAATCGAATACGAATTCGAATTCTCAAATATTTTGACGAATCTGAATCAAATATCTTTAGTATTTATTTTGATTCGGTTCGTTATTGGACAATGGGTGAACGTTATGCTCCACGAGGACCATGACAAGTTTGACTGATTTTTACTTTGTATTGGATAGAGTTTTCCACGTCATTATTCATTACATTGGTAATGTATCTATATTCATTTCATTTATTTAATTATTTTTAAAAGTAATGTAAAACGTAAAAAAAATAAAAATATATATATATCAACTTGTACACAACTTAGACATGGCCACGTGCTGACCCGGCCCGTGGCCCGACCCGTGACCTGGTACCGGCCCGGCCCGACCCGATACCGGTATCGGCATAAATAGTGCCGGTTCTTAGAACCGGACCGCGGCCAATCTGGTCCGGTTAAAGGTCACG